ATTGGGATATGTTAGGCCGTTCAGAATGCAATAAAAAACATATTTTTAAGTTTCAATTGAATGTTATTTGGTCGGACAAGACTAAATTAATCGCTTTCAATCAGATGGCCGGGCATGGTATTGGTTCAAAGACCCAAACTAAGCCTAAGCGCATCATGTACTGCAAACTGTGAATCACAGTGGTAGGATCTTAATTGTTTGGGGTTGTATTTCAAAAATTTTGTTGGTCCGTTAGTACACATTATGCGTAAGGAACAGTATCTGTTCATATTTCAACAAAATTTGCAATATGTAGTCGAAAAATGAGAGTTTCAGCTGAAAAATCACCCAAAACATACTGCATATGTTCGCAAAGACTGGATACAAAAGCAAAAATTTGCTAATTTGAAATGACCTCCACAAACCGCGGACATGAATCTCATCTAGAATTTGCGAAATCAACTAAAAACACAGCTTAATAAGTATCAAAGTCCGTAAAATCGAGTACATGAGCTGTGAAAGCCAACTAAGGATATACCTCCAGAATTTTTACAAAGATACAAATAAGGTATGCCAAATCACATCCAGGAACTGAAACAGGCAAAAGAGTGCTGAACATTGTGTTAGTAGTTCTTTTTTTCGTGAAAATTGTTAAAAAGTTCTTAAAAATATATGAGTGCAAAACTGTAACATCTGCCTTAATTTACATTTTTGTCTGCTGGTTTTTTTATTGTTGTTGTATTGACTTCAAATCATTATGAGAGAGGGAGTAGGGATGTACCAACAAGAATATACAGCAAAAGTATGAAAGTCGTTAGAACTTGGAAATATAGCGGTGGCTGAAACAAAAAGTGTTAAACCATGTTACAGTTTTGCTTGTCACTGTACATACGAATGTTGCTATCGTCATCGCCATCTTTGCTACAGTTGGTTATATATACATACTTACATACATATGTATGTATTTACATATGTGTGTCGCGCCTAGTTGTCCGCCTTCTCGTCGCAAGCGGCTCTTTGACGCGACATCCTATCAGAACTGACCCAGCCCCAGCCAATTTTGTTTTGCGTTTGTGAGTTTGTTCATCTGCATCGCTACAACAAGTATCCGACATTTTTTTTTGCGTAGGAGCTAGTAAGAGGTCAGTGGCCCCAATTATCTATATTCGTATAAATTTGCACTCTTTATGTGCATAAGTATGTATGTACATATGTACATATATTTTTTGCAAATCATTCGAATTTATTGTTGCTATGTTTCATATTCAATTGCTGTCCTGAACGAGTGCCAGGAAAGTTTAATAACCAGGAGAAAAAATATCAATCAAGGCATTAATCTCCTCAACCACTTGCTATTCCAAATAAAACTGAAAAGGTCCTCTGGTATACTTCCTTAAATGCTGAAAAAGCATGACTATGTATTCTTGAGTCTTCTTGATTGCGAGCTCGGATATTAAGACATACAAGTCGCCAATGAGTGAATGCTAAGAGAAGATCTCAAACTGAGCTAATTTCTACAAAGAGAAAAAATGCTTAATGACTACATTAACTTTATGAATCACTAGCTATTTTAAATGAAATTTATATGATCCGAGAGTTTCACCTATGATATCTTTGTCAGAATGTCGAAGAAGTGTTTTTCAGGTTTTAGAGTCTTCATGATTGCAAGCACACCAAGCATCTCGACACGAAAATAAGATCATTACCTTTGACCAATTATATTGTAGGTTTTCTGTTCCTCTAGGGACTATTCATTGTGAGGCTCATTCATGCCCATTTCATCCTCATTTCGGGATTATTTCAGGACAATTTCGGGACTAATTAGGGCCCTTTTTTGGCCTAGTTCTGGAGCATTTGGGGTCTAGTTGGGGATCATTTTCGGACTAAGATGTGATCATTTCGGGACAATTTAACAACTTTCTTTAGAATCACTTCAGGACTAATTCAAAATATTTTGCGACTAATTCAAAACCATTTTTTAGAAGTTCGAAACTACTCAGGAAATGATCCTGAACTATACAGGAAGTGGTAATGACGAGTAATGTATTGCTGCAAACAAAATGAATAATATTAAACGAAATTAATATTTAACTTCATGCCTAACCTCTTTATGTGCGTAACTCAACACCCGAATGCTTTGCCAAGGCGTACACAAATGTTTGGGCATCGAATTTCTGGAGTATCGGTTACCGCTGACTTTTTTTTTTAGTTTTGTGACATAATTTGGGTTGGCAAGTAGTTCACGAAATAAATCTAACCTCCGAAATAACGACGAAATAAAATGTAAAGAAAATCTGCAAAAATAATACAACTGTCTAAATAAAATGCACACACGTATTTAAATAAGCAAAACACCCCACTGAGAAATTAGGCAAGCACCTTGCGAGGTAAGCTATGTTTTCTTTCAGTTTTTAATACCAAAATTGTCATCATGACCAATTCCATCTACTACTAAGGCAAAAAATGAACACCTCCGACGAAGCATTACGTTGTCAGTTGCAAAATAACGTGCCGCCGAAGTTATTTCCAAGCGCCGAACTACTCCGGGCGACTGCTCTGCATTTTACGTATGTCTGATACCAAATGTACATTCCAAATTCCTTCTTACATAAGGCGGCCACATCTTTGCTAAGGTAAGGGAGATTCGTCAGTGAAGTGATAAGGAACACCGTGTGAAGTGCAATACCTTACTAGCAACTTACCCGCCCGCTTTAGAAATAGAAAATAGAATAGCTTTTAGCGATATTACCTACTGCTACGTGCTAAACGTGTTCTGTGTTTACATACATATGTACATATATTGCACTAGCAAATAGCCGGTGGGCTTAGCTGCCCCCTAGAAGTATTTTTGCGTTGTTTTCCCTCTCTCCGCAGTCAATAAACTTTAGTTGTTTTGACTAAGTTATGTTTAAAAATTTGATGAAGCAGATAAAAATTCAGAATACTAACAAAACAAAATATTTTGAAAACAAAAATTACCAACTATGCACCAACATTTTTTGCATGTTTTTGGGAATTACATATTTACATATGTGATAAAATTGAAAATTAATGCCCCCTTAATTGTATTAGATAGCCAGACGAAATTTCTCACGTTAATACAAAAAAAAAAAAATTATCCTTCGAACAATGCGATAATTCTTTATGTTTGTTTCGTTTCTTAGAATTATCGCTGGTAACGCTGTTTTAATTGAAACATTTTGTGTTTCCAGCCAACAAAGTAGCATTTTTGCGGTTTGAGACCTTGCGGCGGCGCCACATGCCTGTCGCGCCACATGCCATTATTACTTAGTACTCGTAAAATCCCTAAAGTGCGCGTTGGCTATTGAGTAGCAGTCGGTAAGGAGTCAACAGTTGTACCACTTATTCGCAGTAGTTTTGTAAAAAAGTGTGTATTATTTCCATAGAAGTGGCATGCGGAAATACACGCACATACTTATTAAAATATTTTCGCTTGGTTGTGTGAATGTTTGTAAGTAAGGACTGCGCGGTGAAATGTATCTACCAAGGCGAATTAATGAAATTCGAAATAAAAAGTGCCGAATATTCACACTTCTTTTATATGTACATTTATGCATATGTATGTATGCACATTAGACCGTACAACATTACAAGCAAACAAAAAAAAAGTTCGCCGTGTACCCCTCAGTCGAAAGTATTTTTGCAAAGCAACTTTGAGATTTTTTGTGCAGAATTACCCTGCAGGAAATGGTACTAGTTTGTAGCTAACCATTAACTAACTAACAGTCGACTAGTGGTAACTATTTATTAAATATTTCCTTTGGCCGTAACTAACTGCTTTTGAAGGGCAATGGTCGCCTTTTTATATTTTTCGGGGACACCTACACTTGGCAACAAAAAAAAAAACATTTTGATAGTTCTACTGGAATAAATCTTTAATGATTTTTGCAGAGCTCTAGTTAAGTAACTATAGGGTGATACTTTAGGAACTGAGATCTGGTGGTTAAGCACTAGCGCTGGGTACTTGGCGAAAAATGTAATGCGGCGAATCTTACGTTTTAAACTCTGGGATGTATCTATGATTTTTTTTTCTGGTATGGTCCAATGTACATACATACATACACTTGTATTGGCGTACTTGTATTTTGTTGTGTTTATCATTGCCATTCTGCTACGTGAAGTAATTTCATTTTGCTGAATTCTGACATTTTACTCTGAATTTCGCTAACATTTGCAACGCCTAGTTTTATATGTACATACATATGTATGTAGGTATTACGCTTTGGTATCAATTTAATTTAGATGGGCTTGCTGTTTAGATAAGTTTGTACTTTGGCGGTGGTGAATCGGTTGGCGCTTTGATTGCCGAATGGGTTGGCACACGTCCAGCGCGTTTCACCATGAACCTAGGCGAACCCATTAGAATTAAGTTCTCTCTGCGCTTAAAGCTTAATTCGAAAGAAAATTCAAAATTTCATTTCGCTGGCTGAAAAATTATGTTTGCATTTGCAGATATGTATGTACTGAAATGAGCAGAAAATGTCGTTAGAGTAGGGTGTGGTTGCCGAGCCCCTGTAAAGTCATTTATTTATTTACATATGTCCATATGCAGTTATGAACATTAAGCTGGGTCACGCAAAAAGTTCATATGTATCTATCGTTGAAAACATTGTTTTGGAAACCTAAATTGTTTCAAAAGCAATTAATTTCCAAAATATTTTTAATGAGCGTTGTCACCTGTTAAAAGAAATTTAACTGAAACATTAATTCAATTAATTAATGCCATATCAAACGAGAGAGGTTCAAGAAAGATTAACTTTAAAAATATTTTTGCAGGGGATAGCCACCTGCTTATAAATTCAAAATCAATTTAATTTGCAAGTTAAATTAAATATTTTATTACGAAAATATATTCGGCGATGTTTGCCACCTGTTTAGAAATTAAAAATCAATTTAGATAACAAGACAAAATAAAGATTTTAACGAAAAATGCTTAAGAAAGCATTATTTTGAATATATTTTTTAAGAGTATTGCCACCTGTAAAAAAGTATAACACGAATTTAAGTAACAAGCTAAAAAAAATAACTCAATATGAGCATCAAAAAGGGGAGGTTTAAGAAGGCTTCATTTCGAAAATGTGTTTGAAGGGCGTTGCCACCTGTTCAGTAATTTAAAATCAATTCAATTGCTAAGTTAATAGAAATATTTTTAAATACTACTAAACCAGAGAGGTTTCAGAAGGCTTTTTTTCAAAAAAATATTTTGGGAAGAGGGTTGCCACCTGTTTGAATAAAATAATTAAATATGGCTGTAAAACTAGACAAGTTTTATAAAGACTCATTTCGAAAATAGTTCTTAAGGGGTTGCCATCTGTTTAGTAGTTAAAAATAAATTTAACGAAGGGTTTAATTAAATGTTTTAAACAGTAAAACCAGAGAACTTTTAGTTACCTATATTTATAATATATATTTATACCACCAGTTTAAAAAATGCAGTTCAATTAAGTGAAAAGCTAGAGTGAAACATTACAATGCGGTCGTCAAACGAAAGAACTTAAGGAAAGCCTTTTCTCCACAACGATTTCGAAGAGGTTTGCTGCCTGATTTGTAAGTCGAATACAACGAAGTTCATTAGTTAATTCAAATATTAAATTGTCAAATTATTTTGAAAGCCTTTTATACAAGAGTTGTCACATTTATTTTTACTTTTAAAGAAAACACGAACCATCTCAAAATTATCTTTCAAATTATGTAGGCTGGTTTGACTTAACGAAATCTTTTATTTTACAATGGTGATCGATCCGGCCTAACGTACATACATATGTACGAAGATGCAGTCTAATTTTATGTATTGTTTACATATGCATGCATGTTTGTAAATTAAATTGATTGCTTCTGATATCCCACATGCCATTTAAGCTTTCCGCTACTCATATTTGCTCATCAAATATTCATTATTAATCTTAATGACAATCTGCTGTGTTTATTTACTAAGTAACTTTTATAATAGATTGACAATTTTTTCGTTCTGTTTTTTAATATTCTCTATGTTTTATCACCGCTCTATCTAGCAATCCACATCACAGTTAATGGTTATGCGAAGATACGCTGGATAAAAAAGGGCTACCCGCGCGATAGTGAACGTGCTATGTGTCGTGCCTACCGTTCGTACTTGTCATCGCGTTCGTATGTGCTCGGTTCGTGTGCGAACAGTTCGTGTATGGACTGGTCGGCCGGCGATTATTCGTATACGTTTCACGTAATACTGCCAGAGAATCTGCCCACTTCGTTCGATGGAAAATATGGGCAGATTCATTATGAGATTATCACCACAATCGATCGGCCAGCCCGATATCCGAAAGTCTTCAAGTTGCCATTTACGGTAATACAACCGTTGGATTTGAATGTGGACACAATTTATAGGGTGAGTAATATTAAGTTACACATATGGGTATTCAAACTAACTACATACGTACATACATATGCAAAATTATGGGTTTCTTTGACCTTATGGCTATATCTAGCTTACAAAGAATCAGATGTGCGAAAAGAGCTTACACTGCAACGTGAAAAATAATTTCAATTCCTAAAGAGAGTCCTGTCGAAAATTGTAAAAGGACCTTGGTAGACGAGGGGTTTCTCTAAAGATTATATATACTGACTTTGATTGTTCCTTGACTTCTCTCTTGATATAGGTCCATATGTCAGTGTGTAGCAACACGTCCGGATTGCGTCATGGCAGTCATGGTTGCGCTAATCGGGACTGTGTTATCTCGGAGCCTAGTGCGTGAATGCACATTAAAATTTCATGTCCTGTTTTGGCATATTCCCTTTTATTGTTTGCATTAGTTCGTAATAAGCCTGAGTGAGGACCTAATTTTGGACCAGGACCGGCTCGAATACAAAACACAAATAAGAAAACACACCCGCACATTGATACAACTGATTAATTGACTAAGTAAAATTTTACTTTTAAAATAGTTAGCGAGCCTCTTCAAAAATGTAACTACTTTCTTTATTTTATTTCCTTGGGCATCCGCATTGTAATGTTTCATTTAATCTCTCAATTAATAAAATCGGAATTTAACCCTCCGTTAGGCAGACGGGTCCGGTCAGACCGTTTTCTATATTACATGTGAAATAAACGTTGATATTTTTAAATGAAGTAGCGATTTAAGATTCTTTGACTTTCCCTAAAATAAAAAAAATAGAAATCAAGAACAAAAACAATAGAAGCATAATATACTTCCAAAACTAGGAACCAAATATAGTAAAACAGCGTTTTCAGTTTTTCAATCTAACGTCAGGACCTTTAAAAGGATTTTGGTTCCAAGCTTCATGATTAATTCGATTTTTTTTCTAAATTAAGTGTTAGGTATAATAACAATATGGGTACAATGTGTCACCATTTACCTATAAATACATGAAAATATATAAGAATGTGGCCAGGCCCATTAGGTACGAAAGTGACTAAAAAGTTGTTCGCCCAACGAAGGGTTAAACAGGAAAAACCTCTTTAAAAGCATTTAAGAAATAAAACTTACTTAAATCTTTGACACAATATTTCAATTAACTTAGTAAACTTTATTTCGAATTTATAACCAAGTGGCAACTTTTATCACAAATATTTCCACAATAGATATTTCTTAAACCTAAAACGTTTGACACCCAAAATATCTATAGTATTTTATTTATCTTATTAATTAAGTTAATTACGAATCTCTAACCAAGTGGCAACCTTCGTCAAAAATATTTTCCTTAATAGACCTTTCTTAAACAATTCTCACTTAAAACCCTGGTTAAAATATGTTATTAAACTTGTTATTTAAACCGATTTTTAATTTCCACACAGGTGGCAGCCCTCTCTCCTTAAAAATATTTTAGAAATAAAACTTACATCGTTCGTTTGACACTCACTTTAAAATATCTCATTTAACTTGTTAAATAAATTGATTTGAATTTGTGAACATATGGCAACCCACTTCAAAAATATTTTGGAAATTAAACTTTCTTAGACCTCTCGCTGATTTTATTCTCATATGAAATATTTGCTTTTGTAAAATTATTGATTAAAATCATTTCGAAGTCCAAAACAGGTGGCAACTTAGGAATCATTTTCGAAATAAAGCTTCAGTAAACCGCTCAGAAAAAAATATTTCATCTTGTTTGTTAATCAAATTGATTTCAACATTTGGAATAGCTGGCAACCCTCTTCAAATTTATTTCGCAATAAGTCATTTTAGGATCCTTTTCGTCGGGGCCACACATTGTTGTAATATTTTATTTAACCTCTTAATTAATTAATTTTAATTTAAAACTAGGTGGCAGCGCTCATCAAAAAACTAAAAGCATACACGTTAATCTAGGTGGTAACCTCTTTGTGTGCTAAATTTGATTGTAATACGCTTGCAGCCAATATCACGAAAGCAATTTAAGTGGAAAATGATTTAAATTTTTTGAATTTTATCTATGTATGCATGTATATGGAAATTGACTGAAAATAAAAAAATCACTTCCCTGCAAACCAAAGTTCCCGAAATCTTAACGAAATCTTTAGGAGTATCTGATTTCTGTAACGATTTTTTTTGCGAATCTTCAAAGAAAATTATATGAAGTGGTTGACACGAACTCGTAAAGAAATTTCTGTACGAAAAATAAAGAAAATTCTGAAAGAAGTCTGCAAGAAATTCTTCACATAGCAGCATTATTTTCATTTCTTTACCGATTTTCTTCCGAAATTTCGTAAAAGAATGGAAGTGTGCGTAATTTATTTCATTTTAGAAAATTCGGCAATAAATCGGATGGGATCTTTCCGAATTCTTTAAAAATTCTTTACGATTCAGAATACTCTGAAAAAATGGTTTGCAGGGTTTCCATTTAAAATGCTGGTGACGCTTTCACATTTATCGCACACATATTAGTAGGATTCAGAGTATTTTAAAATTAGCAAGCTTTGTCGAAATACTTCGTTTATACATACTTACGATTATGCTTCGAATATTTACCAGATACTAAATTAATTACCTTTCCATTTCAGGTCCCTCTCGAAATCCTCGATCGCAAGCGCTTCTGGAGCTTTTGCTGCCCCACAGGCCCCTTAACTGTGAAATTCTCCACACCCTATTGCGGTTATGCACCCGGCCAAAAAATTCATTTCGTCCTCTACATCAACAACGAATCGTCCATTGACATCACCGACTGTGAAGTGAAACTGAAACAGCAGGTGTCTTATGAATCCCATGATCCACAACATGAATACCGTTATGACAAACATCTCATCGCACGCAAACAATTCGGTAATGTATTGCGTTGGAGCCGTAAAGTATATCGCGGTTATCTTAGTTTACCCTCCATACCGCCGTCATCAGTGAAAATCGCTTGTCCTATCTCAATTATGTATCTGATAAAAGTCATAATTAAACCAACTGACTTTCATTGGAAAATGAAATTGAAAATACCATTAACCATTGGTAGTATACCGATTATAGATAGTATGGCTGCAGCGGCAGGACTGCCAAGCCTATTACAAACACAATATGCCACAAGTCGTGGCTACTATAGTGGGCGAAGGCTGCAGAATATAGCAACTATGCGACAAAATGCAGGCGAAGGGGAACATGGTGTGGCCGATGTTGAAGGGGGAGCAGAGAATGGCGGAAATTTGGAAGTGGCGGGCGAGAGTGAAGGTGGAATAACAACGGTGCCAGCACTGCTTATAACCGATGGTGATAATCCGCCCGACTACAAACTTATGAGTGAGTTTAGTGCTGTGAAATAGCCAGATTTATCTGTGGACTTTTTTTAATATTCTTGTTTCATTTTAATTTTTTTTGTTTATCAGTGCCACCTTCCTACGAGGATGCCATGGCGTTAAGTGATAAATTCTGTGATGACAGCGAATACTTGCAAAATGTCAGCCTGAGTAGCATTGTCTCAAATGGCACGACAGACTCCTTCAAGCCGCGCTATCCCGTCTACTATGAATATGAGACGCCAATCATACCACCCGGTAGTGATGATTCTACCTCCGATATTTAGAATTGAGCGATTGGAATACAAACAAAAACCTTTTTTCAGTTCAGGCCATAATTAGTAGCGAAAATTTTAAATTTTCTTTTAAGTCAATGTTTTTATTGTGACTCAAAAATTAGCTATCGTATTTGGGGAATGTTTGAATGACAATTTATATATGTACCTACATAGTTTATGAATCTTTAATTTTATTAAGCAATTTTAAAACGTTTTCATAATTTCTTCTGCTCTTTATACAATTATTTATATTTTTAAATATTCTAAAATAAAAAAATGCACGACACTGTAGATTGGAAATCTTTGGAAAATCTTAATCTCTAAGCCAAATTTATTTTTAACAAAGGTGGTCAATTTTGTTATAACAATTTTGAATGCTAATGTTAAATTAAATAATTGTGTAAGTTTTATAAAAAAAAAAACAAATCAAATCAACGCACAAAAAAATTCTTATGTTCTTGCCACACAAAGCCTGCTGTCTGCTGCCTGCCCGCTTGATAAACAAATGCTTGCCAAAATAATAAATAATAGACATTAAAACTCTTAAGCAATCAAAGAAACAAATCCACAAATTAACACTCGTACAATCAAAAATATGGATTAAACTTAACATATAAAACCATAAAACTTAAAATAGATAAAACTCAGTTACATATATGAAAGTAGATAAAAATATATATATGTATATATGAACATATGTACACAAATCTTCCGAAGGACCAAACAATTAAATGCAGTTACCTTCTGCCAGTCCAGTTAATCTTTATGTTTTCCTGGTCGCTGATCACTAAATATTCCGGCGCAGAAGCAACGCCAGCACGTCTGGACCCATGCCCAAGCAGAGGTCACATTTTGAGCTTCAGAAGAAAAAATGGCTTCAACCTCCACAATATCTTTAGACAACCTCCAAAAATCACTTCAACCAAAAAGCAAACAGGTGTCACGCTACGTTAAATGTTACTCCGACCAGGGATCGTGTAAAAACTCCCAAGATTAGTTGGCATTCTGAATTTCCCTCATTTTTTTGTAGGACCTAACAGAATACATTCGTTAAAAAAAACACCACTAACAGGGCAATTCTGGCAACTATCATGAAAGCTCTTTTCTGACTTTTGATAGAAAAATTGAACGATCTGCTAATGAAGAGTTTTATCTGTTTGTCTTTAGCAATAAATTTTCTAAAAATCAAATAATAAAAAAAAAAATAGATATATTATTTTTTTTTTCTTATTAAAACAATAAAATATAGAATTTTAATGAAAATTAAATTTACAAAAGAAAAAAGTATCAAAAAAGTTGCTAACAATTTAACGAAATTTAAAAAATATATTTCTTTGAACAATGAAATGAAAAAAATTAATATAAAAAATAACATAATGTAATTTAAAAAATAAAAGAAAATTTTATTAAAAAAATCAAAAAAAAATATATAAGTTCCTAAAAGTTACGTGGAATTAAAAGAAAGATATTTTTCTAACAAAAAAAATATCTAAAAATATCAAAATAAAATTAAGTTAAAAAAGTATCTTTCATTTTAAAATCTAAGAATTAAGTAAAAAAAATAAAAAAGTAAAATAAATTTATATGATAAAAATTCAAAAGAATATTTTTTTTTTGTATAAAACAATACAATCTTAAAATTAAAAGCAAATTATTTAAAAAAAGAAAAAAAAATCCGCTGCCCGGGGACTTGACTTCAGATCTCTGGAATGACATGGCACTCGGCCATTACAATTAGAGCTTTTCACCATAAAAGTTGCCAAGGAAGCTTTATTCAATAATATTTTCGTGCCAGAATAAACAAAATCTTTCAAACTACCTTGCCCACTGTATATCAAACTAACCACTATTAAGTTATCGTGTCTGTTCTAAAGCCTCATATTTAACCTGTAAGGGCGGGACAGAAGCGGAAAATTTAATTCACTTCTTGGAAAATGGGGTTCGATGACAGTCAAGCTAACCAATAAGCGTTCACACAAGATGTGTGCAAATCAATATACCAATGGAAGAAAATATACAGCTATATACATATGGAGGTCTTATATTCAATACCCGCTATCGGCCAAGACTTAACTGTCATCGGTGATATTTATCTTGACAAAAGAAGTTACTATTAAATTGCACAGTCCTAATTACCAGCAGTGATGATAGGTAAATCCCAGATGGGTTCTAACATCACAAAGCTGTTTTTGTGAAAATTGCAGATAACTAGATGGTATTGAATATAGGCGCTCGAACTACTTTCTGAGATTAAAAGTAAGATGAGTTTTGTCTCCCTTCAGCTCCTTGAAGCTTTCCTGCCCTTGCTGAGCGAAATATTCATCCAGTTTCAAACGCTCGCTTCGGCGGATGGAATAGCCGAAGAAAGGAATACTATGACTGGTTGCGACCACAGAAATATCTGGTCTAAGCCTGCTTACATATCTCATTACCAGGAACTCTCTAATGACCTGATACTCAGACTAAAAGAAGTTCGTTATATTCACCAACGTATATAAGTCAAAATTTGCATTGTCGCACTTGTTTTGAAATGGCTAGGACCTAAAAGAAGCAATTCGCTTAGAAAACAACACTTACAAGGTATACAAAATAACCCAAACAAAATTAAAAAATTATTTAAAATTATACCTATATATAAATAATGTAAATTGAAATGCCAAACATTATACAAATAACTATTTTATAATTTTTTTTTTTATTTGTGCAACTCTTAATTTAAGAATGTTTGTTAATTAAATATCTGGAATGTACTTTTTTACTTCAATTTTAAAATTAAAGTTTTAAATTTTTAAGCTAAAAAATATGTAATGAAGTAAAGCTAATTGTCTTCTGTTTTCCTCTCCTCTTTCTGTATCATTCATCAATAACTTTCGTTCGTCAATAACCCTGCCACGGTCAACAATCCTACTGCGTTTTCTTGCCCTCGCTTACACGCTTCCTGTCTCACGCGTCCCTTCATTATGTCTATGTACATACATACGTTGAACAACTTAAATCTTGGTATGGATAGAAACACTCTACGATGAATCACCCTCGCAGCTACGTATCGAACTACAGCCATCAGATTCGTCGGATGCATCAAATCAACCACTCAACGCCGCTAGTTTTCCACTCTATCGAAATGAGAAGAAATAAAAGGATACTAGATGTAACTCTACTGTCGAAAAAATAACTGATTAAATTTTCATACAAAGTTATAAAATCTGCCCTAATAGTGCTTATATGTAATTCTTAAGAAATAAGTAAGTACAATTTACTTTGGGGCAAAAGAAAAGAGGATTACTAATCTTAAACTGTTTTAAATAGTTAGTAACAGAGATATTATTAATTTCACTCATACTTTAGTAACATATGTATGTATGTATTAGGGTGAGGCTCAAACTGCAAACAAATAAATGTTGTGTGGAACACCACTTTATTTAGTTCTAAGTCATCCACGAAAATGTCATAATTTTTAAATAATTTTTAGATGGTTAAAAAATAGCAATCGATACTTTTTACATATTATTGAAAATTATTCGTATAAATTCATAGTTATCGCAAAGCCCCAAAGACAGCCTGCAGATATAAGTTTTATCGGAATAATTACATCATTTTTTTAAATACTTCCATGAGTTCCAAATAGCACTGGTTTACAAATAATTATCTTTAATTTTTAAATATTTTCTAATGGTAACAAATAATGTAAATTTTTAGTATTTTCAAACCGTTAAAAATTATTTTAAAATTTGGAAATTTTCGACGATGTTTTCATTTTGTACGTGGAACGAAATTGTGAGGTGACCCATACAAAATGTAGATGCTGATATTTTAACAAGCACCCTTACACGTTTGTATGTATTTATAAAAATATATATGTACGTTCGTATGTATGTAAATATCATAAGTAATTTTAAAACACAACCACTCGTACTTGTATTCACATAAAACGCGCACACATCTAATGCCCATACATACATATGTATGTCTATTAGGGTGCTTAATTTTTAGGCGATATATTTTTTTTTTCTCTGTGATACCCGACTAAATCTAAAACTTTATAGAAAATAAAAAAATTATTCCGTTTGAAAAAAAAAAAATCTTAAGTGCACCATCAATTCGATTTTTTGTTATAAAAAATTTTTTTAAGGAAAAAAGAGTGTAAAGCTTTGGTAGGGCAAACAATTTCAGAACAAATATCGTCTTAAATGATATTTATCAGCTCGAGCTCAGAAATTGTTGGTCGGTCGACATTTGCTCAGTTGTGCACTCTTTTTTCCCAAGAAATAAAATTTTAACACCGACAAATCTAATTGCATCCTGAAAAAAATCCCGTGTTATTTATATGGGAAATCGAATTTTCGAAGGTCGCACTTATTTTTTTCAAACGGCATAATATTTTATTTTGTATGAGGTATCAAAGAAATTAAACACCCTAATGTCTATGTACATTAGAGTGGTCCTTAGAATGATATGAACAATTTTTTCAGTCTCACAACTTCAACTGGTAATACCACGGTCACAGATATCACATATAAACGTTGCTCCCGATTGGAGTCGGTTAAGACGTCTTCATAGGGTAACCTGAAGTTTTCCCCCTATGCGACACTGTCTCCAATCGTGACCAAAATGTATATGTGATATCTTCGACTATAGTAGCATCGCCTTAGTGGTTAAGGCTTAGGAAATGTAATGTAAACAATTGTTTCCTACATTTAAAGACCACCCTAATGTTCATATCGTCGTTGATATTGCAAACCGTTCTATGCCACTTATTACCTATGGTGCTTAGTTGATCTGTTATCTATATTTGATCGTTCATATTCATCAGCCAAAGGTAGACAGTTTTTTCTGTCATTCGTTTATTAGGGTGTGACGATTTGCAGATGCATTCCGGTGCATGTAAGAGACCATATAAGTGTCAAGGGTACTAATAGACATAGACCGTTTTGCAATGTCACCGACGATATACATATGTACATATGTATGAACTAAATATTCAAGCCTAAGTACCCATCAAGTAGTTAAAAGAGTATTAACTTACTTATAGTTATAACTGAATTTAAGAAAACAAATAAAGATTTGCAAAATGTATTTAAACGGAGGCATTAGGGCTGGCAGTTCTAACTGAATTTTTTGAATATCCGAACAATCTGAATAATCGAATATCTAATAAAAAAATATCGAATATCTAGATATCCGGATGAAAAGAGGGACAGATATTAATATATATGAACCGGATTTTTATCCGCATAATAAAATATAATGGATATCAAACGGATATACGTGTTTTATTCGTATACACGAATATTCGAACGGACATCCGGATATGTATATTCACGGTTAGTCCCAGCCCTAGTATATCTATATATGAATATCTCAAGAGCCCTCCACCTTTTGAGTAGCTGATGTTCTTGAGTCACATCCAAACAGAACAATTGTCGGCTGATTCCAAATAGTTGAAGTAATTTACAAAGTTTTTTTCTTCAATTGCATTCTTAACGGAATGAAATACATATATGTATTTTCAATGAGTTTTATATGCAAATAAGTCTCTCCGTCAGAAAAATGGTTTTGCGTATTTATTTGCGTCTATTCGTGGCGATTAAAAAAAAAAAAAACCTTGTTTTTTTATTAATTTATGTTGAAAAATTAAAGAAAAGCAAATTTCAGGTTTGAATGCTTCCACTTTTTTGGAAAATGCTTGGAATTAATTTAAAGTGCCCGCAATTATTTAAAAAGCTATTCATAAACATATTTCCATAGGAAACATTTAATTAAAAAGAATATTTTTAATTTGCCATTTATACTGATATATATTTTGAAAGCTGTTTCTTTCTAATCGAAAAACTCGAGAACAGCTGAACCGATATTTTTGAAATCGACTCTAGGCCCTCAAAGGATGATAATAGAAGAAGAATAATTTCGATACATCACGGGGCGTGGCACCTCCCATACAAACTGAAGTTTTCACACAACATATCTCTGGAAGTATTCACTGTAGAGTGCTGTAACTTAGTAAAGAGATATATAATATCAACTTTGTAGTTGTGTAGGAATAATGAAGACGAGAAATTTAGGCAATTCCCCATCGCCCAGCTTGCCAGCTGATTTCTCAATTATCTCGAGGGAATAGAACTTCTAGCGAATATTCAAAAAATTCACAATAGCATACAGTGGTTTTTTATCACTTATAGGTCCGACCCGATAGTGTCCGAGTGTAGGCCATTTGTCCAAGCGTCTACTTGATGCCTTGATATTAAAGAGGTCCACATTTTTTTTTTTTATATTTTGCCCGAGGTAGACGACACCTCCGAAATTAAAATGTATGTACATGCACACCATTTTAAAACTAAAGATAATTTTTTTATATAATTGTTATTCCTTTAAAACTGGTTCAGTGTCGATCAGATTTTATTAATGTTTTAAATTTATTTTCACACGTCATAGATACATACTATATGCACATGATCTTCACAAACTGTAATATATGGCCGCTTACTCGAATAGCGAAACAACATTTGAGAAGAGAAAAATTAGAGCAAATGCAAATTGGATATTAAAAACAAAATTCTCATAATGAGACACTAAATATTTATTAAGTTGTTTACCGAAAAAAAAAACTGCACACGATAACAAATTTGAATACACATACAAAGATACATACATACATGCTGCACGAGCAACAACATTTTTACATACTAAATCAAAGCAAAATGATTCAACAAATTACAATAAAAAAAAAGTAAACTTGTTTCATTTCACAGTACAATTTTTCATCCTAAACGCCTGCGATGTGCCCTCTTAATTGTTAGGTGTTAATCTAAATAATTAAATATACGAACAAAAAAATTTCGCGCGAAAAAAGTAATTTTAATATATTTACAAATTAATAAAAATCGCAATAAAGTTTAGCACTTCCCAGAACTCAGAATAAAAAATTAAAAAAACTTAAAAAAATAGAAATCAATTAAAATAAAATGACTGTTTAACACATAGCATATAACGTGTTTGACATTTATTATGCCGAAGACAAATATTTCACAGAATCTATTTGAATTTTTTGCACAAATCTACGCAATAACTCATAAAAAAGAAAAAAGTTTAATTAGCATAAGTTTCTACGCACTCTTGGAGGGTGCAAAGATCCACAGTTTCGCTTAGTGAATATTTATTACATACATACATATGCGCACGAGCTTAACCAGTCAGCAAGCAGCCTTATATGTATGTAAGTATGTATGCGAATTCCATGCCTTTGCATTTGTTTTATAACATTTCAACACCAGTTCATTCAATTGGAAAAATTTTCACAAAAAAAATTTCCGAAGCAATATAAAAGTAATATTCCTTTTTCGAAATACTTAGTACTTAATTATAGAAACATTTATATAATAGACTAAACATTATTTTCAAATTTACAAAATATTTGTAACAAATAAGTTTTTAGGCATAAAAAAATTCCTATAAGAAAAAACTATCTAAATAAAAAAATATACATATGTAATCTAAAGCTTTTCAGATATAAATCCCTTTACTTCTAAAATAAAAACTACACTGTGCAAGTATTATATGTAAGAAGTCATATGTACTAATTTTTATTATTTTTAAGCCTTTGAATGTGCATTTTCACAATTTTTTCGTCAATGAAAAAGTTGAAATAAAATAAAATTTAAAAAAATATATAAACTTTATTAAATATTTTTAAGTGTTACGGAAGAATAAATCAAGTTGTTTGAATACACTGACCACTGTAAGCGGCAAAAACCACCATTTTCGCGACTATATTGACTATATTTTTTAGGAGAGCGAAACTATACATATAATAAAATTGTAGCAGGCCAATATCTATGCATTATAGATATTAAAGAAAAATTAATATGGTTGGTCTTTATTAGAGCAACAGAAGCCAAATCAACAATTTTTTAAATTTTTGTCTCTCTATTTGTCTGTCTATTTGTATGTTTGTACGCGCATCATTCGAAAACTAATTCATGAAATTGAATGCAATTGTCATCAATGTATTGCTGGCGCTCTAACTTAAGATATATAAATATAAAAATTAGAGAGTTTCCACCTATTTGAAAATTTCAGTTTAGGTGATTTTACAAGATAAAGTAAATATTGCAATATGGCTGTCAAAATATAGAGGTTTAAGAAGGCATGTAGCGAAAAATAGTTTTGAGGAAGTTTAGGAAAGTTAACTCCCGAAAATATTTTTGAAGAGGGTTGCCATCTTTTTGGAAACTTGTATTTAATTAAATTGATAAACTAAATGAAATATTTCCATACTTTTAAGGCGAAGTGAAGCATGCCGGGTATTTGCCAGTTAACTAATATGTATATGCGAAGGGTCATACAATAAACAGACCTTTATCAAGTCAATAATTTCCTCAATTTTTATAAATAAGGATATACGTTTTACGCGTTAAATCAAATTGTGCCGAATTTTTCTGGATATGTGTTGCTGAAATAAGTTTTTAAATACGCTACTAGTATTTCCAAGAAGTTTCTGAAATATTCAATTTCTAGATGGGATTACTGAAGCAAGTTTCAGCTGTTAGATTTGCTGCCTTTGTGTTTATCTTTCACAGACACTAGTGAGACCGGAAAATAATGAATATAAAATAATGTTTGCTATAAGTTTGTGAGAGACCGATTAAGCCTTTTCAGAGAGATACATTGAAAGTTGTACACAAAATCAATTTTTCTTTAAATAGTATCAAACTCGAAAAATTTACCATAATTTCATACTTAATGAATTCTTGCATTTTCTGCTTTTTTAATACGGTTACCTGGGAGAAAGGAATAATTTATTTCCGATTTCTATAATTTTCCCCACCAACCCACAATGGACCAAGAACAATAGTTAGTTATATTTTTGTGTGTATGACTATTTGCATTAGACCGGTTCGATACCCAAGCAAAAGAATTAACTTTTTTAGTTATAAGTTTTACTTCTAGGGGATTTTTTCTTCCCTTATTGATTGACCGATCCAACTGACGCCACTGGCAAATGCTCTGCGAATATAAGCGCTATGCGGTAAAATACATAAAAAATATACATATATATGTATATTTGACGAATTGATAATCTTCTCCGTTTTGTGAAGTCGGTTAAAAAAGAAGCGATTGAAAACCATATTTTGGTACGTACACAAAATACTTTTTTGATACTTCAGAGACCAGAAGCAACCACAAAATATACGTAAATGTGGTTTTTGCTCTACACTCTAAAAAATGTTTGTTTAAATTTGCGCATATTAAGATAGGTAACCAGTTTCCTCTCTTAATGAATGCAAATTTAAACACTGCTTGCTTACTTTTACTCATCATATGTGTGGCGTAGAACAAATTTAAAATTTGTTTTTTGAGTTTTAAACATTTATTGTTCACATTTTCACAGTTTACACATAAAATGTTTAAAATTTCCTCTAAAAAATGTTCGTTTAAATTTACGCATATAAAGAGAGGTAACCAGTTACCTCTCCTAGTGTGTGCAAAATTAAACAATGTCTGTTTACTTTTACATATCAAATTTGTCACGTAGCGCACACAAGGGGTTGGTTTTGAGGGTAAATTTATTATGATATAAGAAATTTTGAAAGAAAAAAATTTCTTTTCCCTTTCTTGTGCGTCATTTTGTAAGAATTTGTCATTTTTTCTTGAGAGCTCTTTAAAGTTTAACTGCGAATGAAAACATTGTCCTAAAAATATGCAATGCATACTCACTTACTGTTGCTTTTTACACTTTACAGCCTATAAAAGTTTACCACTAATATGTACTTAATAAGCATTCGAAGATTTAATTTGCTAACTTCGAATTCGTTCCACCAAAATGAGCTACGTGATAAAAATACAATTTCAGTTAAATTTTCGTTATTCGAATTATTAAAAAATGAGAAACCAGAAATCGACGAAAATTAATAAAAAAGTGTAAAAATTTCGTGAAATTATTTAATTTATTTATATTAAAATTCTTTTGTAAAATTTTGTATTACTTTTGAAAGTTGAGTGCATCTTTAACCGTTAATTTTTTCATGATTTAATGATCGGATCTAAACCAAATTACGAGACGACCCTTAAGGTACCATCTTTCCGGTAAAAAAAATAATTATTGGAATCGGTTCACGCGGTGCAAAGTTATGCGGTGGAATAAATAAAAGAAGTAAAAATACTCCGAAGAATTGATAACCTGCCCTTTTTTGAAGCCGGTTGAAAATGTCTGAGTTCTTTGTAAATTTTATGTAAATAAAATGCAATTTATGAAACTTTAAAAAGTTTATTTATTTATTTCATACTGTACATAAAACTTGCATAAATGTATTTTAAAGAGCGAATTTTCAGTATTTTCTGACGATATATATTTAGAAGTATAAATCCTTTCCCCCAAAAAATATATTCCTGCGTGCGCCCCTGGCACTTAGTATTTATTATTTGTAAAAAATATATTTTTACTTTCAAAATGTTTGTAGTTTTAAACATTTCATGTGTATATTTTAAACAACTCATGCTCAAAATCAAATCTTGAACATCTTGTGCGTATAATTGAACAGATTCTGGTTGAAAAATAAACACTTTTCAGTAGTAGTTTTACATGCACTTTTTAGAGTGTAATGTTACTACAGCTTTAATATGCCTTGCCTCATAGAAATTTTTTTGTTTGTGTATCTAAAACAAGAAGCAAAGTATAATCGCGTTCAAAACAAATACATATGTATCTTGCAAAAGGTAGTGCCATAATAAACTTAACAAACGGGTAGCAATAAATATGAGTATCTATCTAATAATAAACAAATATGTAAGTAGTTTAACAGCTGTTTTGCTTCCTATTTGGAGCCTTCCAGTTGCACCAGTTTCTAGCAATCAAAGCTGTAAGTTTAACGTTGCTAGCGGCCCGCTAAAGTCTCCGTATCCATAGCCTATCTGTCGAATAAGTGTTCGTATTGCAACTACAAAAAGTTGTTAGGCATCCAAACAAAGCCACGGACAGTAAAAGACCCGGCAGCGCAAACAGCGAGGGCGTGTAACGGCAAGTGCTACAGATAAGTTGAATCTATGACGCGCCACACGCATTTTGCACAAACAACAAACATACATGCACACAAACACAGGTATGTATGTAAGATTATGTAAGAGTATGTACATTAGGGTGGTAAAAAAAAAATAGTCGAAATTTTAATGCTCTCACCCCTAAGATTGTTTTATGACGGAAAATTGCACCCCTGTTTTTTTTCTAATTTGAAATCAAAAAATCTTTAGGCGTCAAAGTTCTGCATGTATTTTGCGGGGAAAAAAAAAAATTTTTATAGAAATGGTATAGAATTGTTGAAAATCAATATTTTTCGTTAAGAAAACTCTGTTTATATTCAATTGATTATTAAACCATTTTTCTAAGTGTATTTATAGGTCCCCAAAAACACCAAAAAAATTCATTGGGGCATCCAAAAAAAATGATTGTAACTACCTAGGGGGTGTGAGAGCATTAAAATTCCGACTTTAATTAATTTTTTTTTACCACCCTAATGTACATATGTATAATATAGATTTGCATGTTCAAGTGCCAGATTTGATTAGCCTCGTCGCACACCCGGTTTGTGCACCGTCGCACGCAGCGGATCGAGCAGCGGTGGGCTTAATGAAAAACGCTTCAGTTTGCGTTTGAGTGTCGTGCAGTGCCTATTGGAATTTATCCAGCAACGGATTGGTTCATAGCAGGTTGCGAATTGTTGGGCACATGTGTATAAAAAATACATATATTTTTTTTTCTACTTTCCCTTTAATGAAATCACATAAGCATTATTTTGCACGATTTTTAGTATCAAGCAGTGAAGGGTGCAGCTCATCTGCTAACAAATTGCCATATCAAGTCAATTAGACAATTACATGATTGTGAATAATAAATAAATTGCTTTGCCGCAACAATAAACAAACAAAAAAACTCTGTTGAGAAAGCAAACAAAAAAGAATTAGACGTGTGTTGAAGAAGCATTTCTATAATTTGAAAAAAAAACATCATTTTGTGCAACAACGTCAAGGCTGTTGTTGATGCCACGATAAGCAAAAAATTTACAACAACAAAAATCAAAAAAAAAACACACACCCAATTATGCCAACTACTTGCCGTTTTAAATTTTCGCGCACTACCCCAATCTACTACAGTGGCGAACAAATAACTGGCAGTGTAATTTTGAGTACCACAAAACAGCTGCCTGTTGAAGGTGAGTGATTAATCTGCGAACATGTATATGAAAAACGTATGTATATAGTTTTCATTGAGCGGAACGGTAATCTCCATGACTAACAGCTGCTTAAATTAAGTAATATGTGGAGCAATGTGCATAAAAGACTTCGCAAGATTTCGAATTCTACAGAATGTGTTCATACTTGCTTGCAAATTTATTTTCATATATACAAAAATATGTGCATCTTATTTATATTGTTAACAAACAATTGATTTAATGAACTTGGAAATATTTTTTTTTTACCTAGAAATATAGTTAAATAACCTTGTAAGCAAATTGTCACAAAAACCATTGTAAGTAGTATACATAATGCAAAATCTGTGCAGTAAGCTTTTCTACAAAAAAAAAAAAAATATACAAAAAATGATAGCTAAGCAGGGTTAGGCGATGGTGACAAAGGAGGCCAATAAGTACGCCTCAGGGAGGTGCTTTGCCTCCTTTGATTAGTGCACTTATAATCAAAAAGATCATACGCAGGGGTGATAGATTTACAGCTCATTCCTATCTATGCTAGATGTCACATATGTACTTATTTAGTATCTAATATTTTCAAAATTAGGCAACAGAGGTAGGGCTTGAAGTAAATTGAGAGAAGGAGGACTTAGAAAGTTCAAGATACCGCCCGGGTCTCAAGCTAATTTTTAAGACGCTTACCAAATATTTTTCACGAAGGGGATTACCACTTGTTTAGAAATTCAAAAACAATTCAATTAAAAAATATAATAAATTAAATATTTTACTATAGATGTTTAACTACAGAGTGTGAAGTATAGTATTATTTCTAAAATATTTTTGAAAATGGTTGCTACCTATTTAAGAATTCAAAATTAATTTGTTTAACACGCTAAATTAAATATTTTATTTGGAAAATGAAACAAGATAACTTACGGAAAGTTTAATTTAAAAAATATTTTTTATAATAAGATTGCCAGCGGTTTGAAAATTCAAAATCAATTGAATTAACAATCTAAATTAAGTATTACCATTTGGCTGTAAAACGAGCGAGGTTTAAATAAACTTTTCCCCTACAAATTTTTTAAGAGTGTTGCCACTGGCTTAGAAATTCAAAATTAATTTAATTAATAAGTTAAGTCAATTTTTTTACAATGGGTTTCAAAACAGAGAGTGTGAAGTAAGTTTTATTTGAAATTTAAAATCCATTTTATTAACACGTTAAACAAAATACTTTATACGGAAAATGAAACAAGGTGTGTTGCAGAATACTTAATTAAAAAATTATTTAAATAAAAAAAAATGTTTAAAAAATTAAAATCCATTTAATTAACAAGTCCAATAAAATGTTATCATATGTTTTTAAAATGTAAGGGGTTTAAATAAACTTGTATCCTAAAATATTTTTGAAGAGGGCTGCCACTTATTAGGAATTTAAAATTAATTCAATTAAGCCAGCTTAATTAACCTAGAGAGGTTAAAGTAACATTTTTTTTTAAATATTTCTGAAAAGGGTTGCCGCCAATTCAAATCAATTTCAATGATAAGTTTAGTAAAATATTTCAATATTGGTTGCAAACGAAAAAGCTTTAAGTAGGCTTTGCTACCAGATTAAAAGTTTCAGTTCAATTTAGTGAGAGGTTATATGACGCAATCCAAGGCGAAAGTCTAACAAAATTGGTTAAACAAAATTTTTAACCAACAAATTTTTGAAGGCGGTCGCTAACTGTATCTTAAAAGCATTTTATAAGTGAGCTGCCACATTTCCAAAATAATTTTTTTGGTTTATATGAAATAAAAAAAGCTTTGGCATGGACATGAAACTAAAATTATATTTTTACGTATAAAGACTAAGTATCTAAGAAAAATAAGTTTATAATTACAGATACTACAACCTCTGAATTTTCTAAAATTTCGCGCCAATATTTTCCATGTTCTGAGGCATATTTTGTACTCCAGAACTCCCAGGAAAAGGCAGATATCGACACTGGTTCGATTAAGATAACCATCTGAGTGAGAGCATTAAAATGATTGACAGAATTCTATAGCATTTGGTACAACCGATTGGGATGCAGCTGTAAGATTTGACTGCTTAACGTTAAACCTTATATAACGTGGGCGGGCCGTGGGTAAAACCTAGTCATCCGGATGATAGTCGACTTAATATTGCATGCATGAACTTGCTGGGTCAAAGTCATCGCTGCGATTACGTGAAAATAATCATTCACTTAAAATAAAGGTGGGCGAAATTTTTCACCCCACCCCAAAGGCTGCAACTGCTCCCGTAGGCTGGCTTTATTTTTATTATCTTTTATATTTGTACCGCGTTTATTCAAGTAGCAAGCAGTGCATTTGTATAGCTGTTATACATATAGCTACTAAAATAATTTCATTAGCCAATTAGCAATTAACATGGTTTACAGATTATAAGCGGTTGCTTAAATATATTATTAACGCTTGTCTAAATATTTATCACTCAGTTAAAAAAATAAATAAAATAAAGTGTGACAAAAAGGCATCAAAGCATACTAATATAATTTATTGCAGACTTGCTGTGATTAGATATATGATAAATGTTTTCAACACTGTACTTATCTTTATACTAAGTACAAAATTTGCAATTCATAAAATGCAAAAGCCCAAAAGCCGCGAAATCCATAAAACGATAAAAAGTAACAATGCAAAGTTAATGCAAATATACTTGAAAGTGTGATTTTTTTATGACTTTAATAAGGTGCGATAAAATGTCAAAAAAACTGTTTAACTTTCTTATTAGTATGTCTGTTTTATTTATACTTCTAAATTTTTTTTTTTTCATATTTACAATTTATCCACTTTAAATAGCAATTCACCTCTCTTTGGTTGGATGTGAGCGCGTGCAGTGGCTGGCGAGGAATAGAAGCGCATTGATTCCACATAACGATAGCGTTGAGAAGGAGGACAACAAAGAGCTCTACCATGGCAAGCAGGAGCATTTATGTGAGTCATACACGCTTGCCAAGGCAGTGCGCTTGTTGCCGGGTGAGGTGCGTTTAGAGGAGTTTTGTTTCATGCTGCCACACGATGTGCCAGCTAGCTGTGAAATGATCTATGGTGAGGTGGTTTACTATGTGCGGTTGGTGTTGCAGCGCAAATCGGTGTGCAATAAGGTGTTCAAAGCGCGCATAACGGTCAAAAACCGATTGGATTTAAGCAATGCCACAGATTTGGTTGAGGTACGTACACAATGACAGCTCTAACTAATATGATAATTGATGCTAAAACCTTAAATTCCCAATCATTAATTGGAAATCACAACAGCCTCATGAACTCACCATACCCTGTGTGCCCACAACTAGTGATGAGGCTGCGCCACTCAACTTCACTCTGTCCACGGGCACTGGCTATGTGCCCGGCCAAAGTATTTTCTATACGCTGTATGGTCGACACAAATTTGCGGCATGCAACAGATTACGTGTGAACTTATGTCAACTAAGCACATTTCGTGCAAGCAAACCGCAGACGAAAACGAAGGAGTTGCTGAAGGTGCTAAAAAGTAATACCCACAAAATAGGTTCCTCATACGTCACGGTGTGCGGTCAGCTAAGCATACCGCTAGTGGCGCACATTACACTGAAGAGTAATGAAAATAATCTCATACAAATCAGTCATTTTGTTGAAGCTATGCTGATAAATAAGAAGCACATCTTACAAAAGTTAATCATACCGATTGTGATTGGTACAGTACCTCCAAAGAGGAAAGAACGAACGCCGGAGGAGAAGTCTTTCGAGCTACTCGAACATTTTTATTGTTACGATAATTTGGGTGAGTGGTGAAATAGAATTTATTTGTATATATAGCGGGCCCAGTATGCTTACCGGTTCAAATTTTGCCCTTAAAAACAAGATATTGATTTGGGTCAAAATGACCTAGAAACACTGTGGGCGTGTGAAAAAACTATACTGCCTTCTAGAAAACAAAATAAAATAATAAAACTTTTTATGTTTTTCAAAACCACAGCTGTTTATGCTTTGAACGACCAGACAACGCCACAGCTTATTTAAAATTACCTAGCTCTGTAATTAAAAAATTGTTTCATTAAAATTGGGTAATTTTGAACCAATAATTGTAGAAGGGTTAATTTTTTTCGATGCAGAAATGCAGATAGATGCTCTAGGAAAATGTCTGTATCAAAAAGAAAATTTTGAAAAAATTGTCACTTACATCTTTTGGTGGTTAGATGTCGATATATACATACATATATACTTTAGTATATACATTTATGTATTTCGTTTTTTATTTCTTAAATATATACATATGTACATATATACAAAAATATGTACTTATGTAGTAGATAAACAAAAATGTGGTTATTCATAAAAATTTATAAAATATTTGTTCCAATAAAAATAATTATTTTCAAATTCTCTCATTCTTTACAGCGACTGACGAGATTTGCGACACGAGTATACCTCCTGAAAATAAAAATAACTCCCTTACATCTGCTAACTATAAATTTCTACAAAAGCTGCCCTGTGAACTACTTTTAGACTCTTATGACGCATCGGCTAATATGTTGCAGCAACATGTTGCATAAATTAGACAACGTTAATCTCCTACAACTAGCAATATATTAAATAGTATTAAAAATATATGTACGTGTACATTAGGGAGGTTCTTAAAAGTATGCAAATCTAAAATTCTAATCTAAAATTTCTGGTGATGCATTTCAAAATATACATTAGAATGTCTCACAAAAAAAATCAGATTTTTTCCACCGGAATTATATAACAGAAAAAAATTTCGAAAAAATACTAGGGCTTACGTGAGCTAAACCGAGTTGAAAATACCCAAAAATCACTTTATTTTGATACCGTTGATACAAATTCTAAACGTTTTTATGCAGATTTTCATTTTTAGCCAATTTCATCATCTGAGCTGATTTTTTGGAAATAATATTCTTAAAAACTTATTTTGTTTATAAAAAACCAAATTTCTCATTGTTTCTTTGAAATATTTTGGCTGAAGCCTTAAAATATGATTGTAAATTTTATAATTCCGAAGGAAAAACAGTATCGATTTTTTCAAGGAGAGCGATGCACCCTAATGTATATGTATATATGTACATATGGATAGATACATTTGTAAGTCTTGCTTACTGCCGGTTTCGCTAGAATTTTATATGAAAAATAATTTTTTCCTTTCTGTAATTTTTCATAATAAAAAATTATGTATTTTCTCTAAAATTGCTTTCGTGAAACTGGCTCTTAGTAATATATTCTTGTACATACATAAATAATACATGATTGTAAATTTTGTAACACTATCTTAAAGACTATATACAATCGATTTGTAAATAAATAATAGAAATTTTGTATATATTTAGTAAAATGTAGAAAACTAAAGCAGATATTACACTTTAAAACAAAGGTAAAATTATTTACGAAATTTTTGGTATCTATGTTGGTACTTAATTTGAATGTTTGAATGAAAAAAAAGCATAAAGTGAATAGGCTAAAATCGAGGTAGGCATAATTTACGTATTTTGGGAAGAATCTCTGTCTTCCCTTATCAAATTAGGAAACTAAAATAACCAAAAAGAAGCTATAATAACACAAAACAAGTTAAAATTAGAGCACAAATATATTTTAAGTTGCTTTCGTCATAGGAGATGATCCGATACGGGTTTCAAATTAAGAAAACCTGGCAAGTTATTTTGCATTGAAGTAATATTTTTTTAATGCTATTCTAATTTTAGGGAACGCAAAACCTGATCCTGCAAGGACCTAGATGGTTTTGAAACTACCGCAGACTTGAAAGCACGCTGAAGCAGCTTTTCCAGGGGCCTAACAAAATTATGACTAAACTAAAGAAAGCAAATACCATACCTTATATGTATAAACTATTTCTTGACATTTAGCCTGAATATACTTCTGCCTCAAATCGGCCCGTGGTCGTATGAAATGTAAATATCCTGTTTCTGATTCACATTCAAGTAAGATGTTTTACACATCTAAACTATGCAGCGCCCATGTGGTTGCCGGCGACTAACAGGACGCAGTGAACGAAGCTATATACATTCTCAAACATGGTAGTCCGGGCTGCTACCGGATGCCGTCTGATTTCGTCACAGCACTACCTACATGACGAGGCTCAAATGGTCCCCATCAGAGAGTACCACACTATGTTTTATAGGCAGTTCTTAGTAGGGTTCCACACACGTGGGCACCCAAACAGATACCTCCTTGCCACGTAGCCCTCGCCTAGGCACGTCAGAAGGCATCTATATGAACTAACGTATGAATACCATAGGTTTATAAAACAACAGCTACATCCAACAACATACCGACAGATCATAACACGAGACAGAGCTTCATCTGGCAAGTGCAAATGTGCCCAATGAGTACCCGGCATGCAGAGAGTCAGCTCACGTCTTGCAACTTCTTCGCATGCCCAACACAACTAACGTCACTCCCCTATGGACCAACCCAGTTGGAGTGGCATACTTGTTGACTTTGCCGTTAGTTGAGCCCGACGACAACGATTAAGGGACAAACCGATCCATGCAGGAGTAACTAGCCGCTGCAATAACAACAAAAACACATGTATTACTGAGGAAACATCAAGTGGCACCATGAACATGTCAAATTTCAGCTATTCTTCGTTCAAGGAAGAAGAAGGAAAGCAAAAATTGTAACACTGTCACGAAATTTTGACACATTTGTACCGAGGCGAATCAAATCAGCTGATCTAGCAATACCATCTCATATAAATTCGCCTACTACAAATGAGAATATTAAGAAATAATTCAAAATCAAATGTTTGTGTTTAAATTTTTTATGCGGATGTCTGCCGCATGATATTAAGGGGGAGAGGGGAGGAGCTCACGGTTTACTTAAAAACCTAACAATTTTTTTTATCATTTTGTATCTAAATATATATTTTTGGAAAAAATAGGTACACTGCCGGAACAAAATATTGGCACAGCAAATTTTTCACAATATATGCAACAATTTTCATTCTAATATTTATAATATATAATAATTTCGTATAAAAATATGGTTCATTCTACAACAAAAAACGTAAAAATATAATTCCTAAACCCTGCTACTTCCCTAAACTCCATACTCAAAAAAATTCTAAAAATATGATTAAAAAGGTGAAAATTTTGATCAAAATTTGCTGAATTTTCGCGAGTTTGGCACAAAGTGTAGGAATTATATTTTTATGTTTTTTGTTGTTGAATGAACCATATTTTTATACAAAATTGGCGAAAAAATATTAGAATAAAATTTGTTGCATATATTGTGAAAAATTTGCTGTGTCAATACTTTGTTCCCGCATTTGGTTAAATTTTGCAAATGCAGTATTAGGAGCGGAAGTCATATATATAAATCGATACTTTCGATGCATCGAATGAATTGAAAATACGCAAGAAAAGGGAACAATCGAAATGTAGATATCGCAGTTCCTGGCTGCTATTTCCACTTTGGAATTTTAAATGTCTTACAAAGTAATGCAGTCAGTGCACACCATAGTATCAATAAATGCCAAAGTAGTAGATGAAACTATGATACTAGAAGCGTTGAAGATTACCATAGAACTGTATTCTATATTCCACACATCGGAGGTCAAAATGTGGAGCAGACGGATGTTCAGAATTTCAAAACTGTGTTTGATATGTTGAAGCTGAAAATCTACCAACACCTCGCAGACGTAGATCAGGCTTTTAGAGATAAACAGTTAAATATTATAGATATTCACTTGCTTAATTTGGTGAATACCCCTATTGTGTTACGGTTTCAATGACTTAGCAAATAAGAGCACAATAAATACAAATAGCGCTTTTAACTCCACTGCAAATATTTGCAACCACTACGGCCTCAAGTTTAATAAGCACAAAGCAAATTAACTCAAATTCGGGATGAGAAACAAATAGCAGAAAAATATGACGGACATACAGACATACCATACATAGGTACCGACCGTTTGCTGGAAGAATGTCATAATCCCACAAAAAATATTTTTGATTGAAGAATGCAGTATTCATTTCCCGCCCTTCTTTTTCGTAAATAAGGATTTCACTGGTACCTCATTAAAGTCAAGTGTACTTACCTTGAAAGTTTCCAAATGTTCACTTTGTTCATCAATTATAACAATAACACTAACACTGTTCGTTCAAGGTAAATACAGATTTATTCTAGGGATGAAGTTTTAACACTATATTTGTTGTAACCCTTTAGTTAATAAATAATTTTTGTTCAATAGAGAAAACCTAACTAAAAAGTTTGAAACCTTTATTTAGCATTTCTAGTTTTTTTAGTTAAGAAGTTTTCCCAGCAAGTGTGCGATATGTTTCTATGTAAATGCGTTCAAATGAAATTGCACCCACTATTCGAGCTTCTCAGGCTGCACAGTTTCCCGACCCGTGACATCATGTAGCGCCTAAAACTAGGCCATAACTAAAAGAAATAAACGTGTTATGGCGCCGCAAATCAAAATCTAAATGGCAAAACGTGTTCATAAGCTTCAGCATTAGGGTTGACCATTTGGTATAAATATATTTAACTCTTATTTTAACATACAGAAACGATATTCGTAGATGAATGATAGATTAGATTTTAAGGAAGAGCGCAGCCCACATCTAGTTACCGCGATCGAGAAGCGATCCATGTATTGTAATAATCCTACATTTGGCTACAAGGCTTCTTTGAGCCAATAGTGGTCAAAGCTACGATTACGAATTTTGAAGACGAATATAAAGTACTAGAAAAGTTACCCCATCATCTTCACCCATTCAAGTACGTTAATTAATGTTTAGTCACTTCAAAAGGGGCGGAGGGGGGGATCGGCTTTGCTACTTTCCATTCAAGTACGTTAATTAATGTTTCTTTGCTAGGAATTCCAGATCAAATAAGACTACCTGATAGCCAGACATCGCAGAATTTGGCTAAGTGGGCTTACAAATGTATGATCAGAACTGGGTGACAACGGGAGCTGGTAAGCATTCAAAACTTACGTAGTCCTCAATTTCTGTTGTGAATCTAGGCAAGCCGTGACGGATATTCTCGCGTCTTAAATACTTGAATTTGTTGGATAAAAGTATCCAGTATATTTGCAAGTCGGGTAGATTTAAAAGAGATTAGTTAATTGCACAGTTTTCCAGACTAGAATCGTTGTACTAATTTCAAAAGCAGCAATATACTGCGATAAGAAACTATACCAAAAATTTTTCATAATCAATATTTCTTTCCTACCCTATTGTTTGAAAGCAGGAACTATGCAAATAACAGTTAAACACACATAAAGTGGAATTTAGAACAACGCCAATTGTGTAAACTGTAATTATAGTTACGACCACCACGGCACGTCATTATACAGCAGTCGCTAGAACCATTCTCAAGTCATTATGAATGGCGGCCAGCAGGAATGGCATTGAACGCATTAAAATCGCCAGACTACATGCGTCTACGTTCTAAAACTCTGTCGCCCGACTATTTACTATTTGTTGGTTTCTTGCACTACGCACAGCGCAAAACAAAAGACGGTTGGTTGCCTTGGTAGCATGCAGCAGGAGCAGCAACAACAAAATTGCATAAAAGAACTGAGCTTAGCTATGAAATTTTATAAATTATCCTTGTATGTATGTATGTATGTATGTGTGTAGGAGAATTGATGCTGGGCAGCTCTTAAAAAGCTGTTATTTCATATGTACATATATGTATGTATGGATGTTTTATTATCTATTATGCTATGTAGTAAGTATGTACATATATTTTTTTGGCTTTTTTTTTGCTAGAAAATTCAAAGGCATCATGGCGCCAAGTTATTGATTCGTTGATGGTCTGAATGGAGACTGTAAACAACCCGACACAATGCGTGATCGCAACATCCCCCCCCCGTGTGAATGCATGTGTGTTTGTATGATTCAGTGAATGCTTGGCTAGTCAATGCTCTGCAGCATTCAAAGTGTTTTAGTTGGGAAGTTGTAGTGTAACACACA